TTTTTCCTATAGGGTGCATGTGGTCACCAGACAGACAGAGACAGAGAGAGACAGAAAGTGAGAAATCACCCCCCAGGGGGATGGCCACGCCGCAATCCTTTCTCCTCCATTCTCCTCTCGGGATCTTGGGTACGCACGCACACGTGCCCAGTCTGAGTTTAAGCCACTGGGTCCAGGACTTGAACTGCAGTCGACCATGTGGGAGTCCAGCGACATAGCCATTATGTCCACTGATGGTCCCTCAATTTCCCTTTTCTTTCTCTCTCTCTGGTTGAATTAAAAAAATAATAAATAAAAATTAAATACAAATAATTATTTAAAAAATGTTTTTCAGAAAATATTAGAGACTCAGTAACAAAGACAATGAAGGTTGAGACCAGCAGGTGGCATAATAGCTGGACTTTTGTGGTTCTAGTCCCAGACCCAGAAACTTAAAAACTCATAGTGGATGTGTGTTCATGCATGCCCAAGATCCCAAGAGGAGAATGGAAGAGAAGGGATTGCAGCCTTAATTCGCATGGGGTATGATTTCTCGCTTTGTCTCTCTGTCTCTCCAATGAGCATACAGGCCCTATAGCAAAAATCTCTTTTAAAAAATGACAATGAAGGCTAAAGCTCTAACTACATTAACACATGTCCAAAAGTTTTTAATGCTTCTATTATCATATAGACATGAAGAAAGTTTTTGCCTTAATATAGTTAATTTTTAGAACTATTTTTAAAAACAAATTTTGAATTGCACTCCTTATAGGTTCACCAAATATAAAATCTCAAAACCTCAAGAACACACATTTTAATTAATTATATTGCCCTTTCATTTATAAGAGTCCCAGTTTGGATAAAATATTATATGGTAATCATAGTTAGCATTCGGGCATGCTTTGGAGAGAGCAGGTATACCATAACAGACTTACGTGTGACTTGCTTTGGGTTGTAGGCAGTCTCAAAGTTCGCTCATGACCAAGTGGGATAAATGTGTGACTAGGTGGAAGAACAAGCATGCTTGCCAAGTGACTGCTACAACATGGAAGGAAAGACGTTCTCCACCAGAGCGGCTGCATTATGCCGGGTAGCGGAACACTAACGCTCAGCTCCGCAGTTCACTCTGTCCCGAGGGACCCATATTAGAACCACACCCCTAATGTCTCAGCTGTAGTACTATTTCCTATGGAGGCACCGCTCCGTTGTCTGATTGGCCAGTTTGGAAAGAGAAAGTGGGCCGTGTGACCCGCCCCTTTTTTTCCTCCTTAGCAGGCGCTGCCCACCGGAAGCGTGCCTTTGACTCCGCCCACTCCAGCATATAAAGGCGTAGCTGCGGACAGGACCCCAGCGCCATCTTCCTTCAGCGCGCGGCCAGGTGCGTCGAGGCGGGTAAGTTAGTCTGGTTCTGGGCGTCCCAAGGCAGTACGCCCACAGTTTTAAGCCGCCGTCTTCAATAGCTGCTGTAGAAACTCTACGTAAGTGTTCAGGTTTCCGTGCCGCTTCACCTGCATTTTCCATTTTCCTCACAGGAGAGCCAGAGGCCTCACGGGCCGGGCTCCCTCACATCCGGCGTGAGGACCTGGAAGGCCGGTGTTGCCCAGTGATGCTGCGGGTGTATGCTCCGGCTCTGCCAAGGCATCGCGCTGTGGCAGAAGCAGGCCAGGCCTACCACGACTTAGAGCTGTCATGGTTGTTGCGGCTTACAAGGGTTCTGTCCATTGGAGAGTGGCTGTTTTTTTTTTGTTTTTGTTTTTGTTTTTTTTTTTTTTTGAGAGTTTTTTGCTATAGGGCGCATGCGCTCGCCAGACAGACAGAGACAGAGAGACAGAAAGCGAGAAATCACCCCCCAGGGGGGATGGTCACGCCGCAATCCCTTCTCCATTCTCCTCTCAGGATCTTGGGCACGCATGCACACGCACCCGGCGTGAGTTTTAAACCGTCGGGTCTGGGACTTGAACCGTGGTCAGCTACATGGGAGTCCAGCGACATAGCCATTACGCTAACTGCTGGTCTTCTTTTTTTTTTTTTTTTTGAGTCGCAGTTTTTATATGAGCAAGGGTCCATGTTTTATAGAGGCAGGTGTGCATGTTCTGGACTGTAAGCCGGAAAGGCTGGAAGCCGACTTTGAGAAAGGACAAGTTTGACCAGGGGGTGCCGAGACACTCTTTTACATGGGTGCTGGTGAAATGACTGCTGCTGCTCGGCCCTGAAATGAGCGGGTAGACAAACTTCTGCCAAGACTGAGAGAAGGGTTCGATTTTAGTGTATTCTACATCCCAGCCATTTAGGGCTCCAGGTTTTGATACTGTGCTCAGCAGTACCTGCAGGGCATATTTAGTTCCGGGTCTGGCTAGGTGGTATAGAAAGTCTGATCAAATGCCTGGGACCAGCAGATGGCGTAATGGTTACATTGCCAGACTCCCACATAGTCGACCACAGTTCGAGTCCTGGATCTGGCAGCTTAAAACTCACACTGGGCCCACTCCCGTACTCAAAATCCCTAGAGGAGAATGGGAGAGAAGGGATTGCAGCATAGCCATCCCCACGGGGCGATTTCTCACTTTCCTTCTCTCTGTATCTCTCTCTTTGGCAAGTGCACGTGCCTTATAGCAAACATCTCCAGAAAGAAAAGAAAGGAAGAAAGACTGGTCAAATTCTGATACTCTTATCGTTTTGACTTCCCTTTAGACGAGAGCAGAAACTTCTGTAAGAACAAATCTTGGGATTATGTGATTTGTTCAGATGTTTTAAAAGTTGTTCTTACTACTTGATCTCAAGTTGGCTTTGATTTTGATAATTTTATGTGCTCTGATCACATAAAATTTGATTGCTGAATCCAAATTGTGACTCCCTGATAGGTGACTATGAATATCAAATTATGAAGATGGTATCAAATAAAAAAAGGAATGGGCAGGCAGACAGTGGCGTGGCAGAAAATTGTGACACTGTGCGGCTGACCCACATGGGCAAGTTCAATGTTCAAATGAGGAGACCTTCCTGAGTATGCTGAATGCATACATGCCTGTGCTCATTCATGGTTGAGGACTGGCTGAAGCTTGGGTTAGATTACCAGTGTCATGACCCTGTTGGGAGGCTCTGTTTTTGTCCCTGTCTCTCTCACAGAATAAACAAACTTTAGGAAAGGAATGGATGGGGCAGCTGGTGGTGGTAATTAAGGATCCTTTAATACATTGAAGATGAGAAAAAATAATAAAATTATTTTTAATATGAACACCAGTAACAAGAATGATGATTGGAATGTTTTGGTTCTAATTATGATTTTTTAAAGGAACTTGAGGTGCTGGAGTAGTTTAAAATTTATGCTTCAGTGTTCTTACAGAGTAATGGAAGAATGGAAACAAAAAATACAATCGGTTAGAACTGGAGGAAAAAGCACTTTTTTAAGGAGCAAACTTGAGAAATTAAAGACAGACTTAACAGAAGTGACAAGATGAGATTTGAAATGGAAGTAGTAGTGTGTAAGAGGGAATTGAGATTCAAGAAGATCTAAATGTTGTATGTCAGAATATTGGAAAAGGGAAACGGACTGAGTTGTTACTAGAATGAAGCAGGAGCCTGAGTTCCAAATTAATATAAACGGGAAAAGGCAAAATGTCAATGGAATGATTCCTTCAAAGAAGGTCAGGAAATTCGAAAATAGAGGTCACAAATCAGGGATGATGTTAAAAGTAATTTGAAATGCATCTTAAAGATTAGGGAAGACTAGGAAGATACAGAGACTACACAAAATATGCTTGGGGAATTTTCAAGGTAAGGTAGGCATTATAGGTTTTAATTATGAATATAATTTGTGCTCTGTAGAAATGTGCTCAAGAATTAGCACTCAAGACAAGCTCCAGCAAAGTGAGGCATTGAAAGAAACTAGGCAAAAAGGTAAATTTAGCTCAAGTTTGGATAGGCTCAATATTGGGCTGATAAGAAAAACGTTTCTCCATGGAATAGCCATTCTAGAAAGGGGGAAAGATTTGTTTGAACAGTAAATACTTTTAGTAAATTTAAAACTAAATAATTTGTTTCTGGTAGAGAAGATACTGGAATTTAAGAAATAGAGTATGTTAAAAGAAAGTAATGTCTAGAAAAAAATAACAAGGAAGGCAAATACTCATTTCCTAGCATTAATGCTGTATGTGTTGGAGAAGAGATAGAAATAATAAGCAGTTTAAGCAGTTAGGAACTCAGTTTCCTAAGTAGATTAAATATTAGGTTGTTTAGAAAATCATGATGTATTTTTCTATGTTTTTGTATGCAAAAATGTGTCATGACTTTCCCAATGACCCAATAGTTAAAAAAAAAACCTACAACTTTGGGCAAGGTGTAGTAGGATAGAAGACAAAAAAAGGCAAAACCTAGAGCCATATTTCATTGTTACAGAAAAATATGTAGCAGAAGAAAACACTGTTCAAAGACTGAAAAATTTAATGATGAAAGCCAGGGCCTAGAGGAACACTGGAAGAGGACTTCTCATTGGGTCCCTAGGGGCTTAGGCTTGAGAAGCATCAGTTGCAGCTTTAGTGTAGGAATGTGCTGAGAGTGATTTTCTAGCCGAAACAAATGGGATGAGAGAGAAACCCTCCCTAAGAGACAGGCTTCACCAGCTTAGCAATTCCATAGCAAGAGGCAATGGAAAGAGTCACTGTGGTATAGGATTGAAAGTATCTGCTTACTGGAGATAGTAGGCTCTGTTTTATAAGATGGAGTCCATGTCAACAGCACCTTAGTGCCAGAAACTGTGCCTTGCAGAAGATAGGGAATTGAAGCGATTTTAAGACGTGATGTAGTGGAAAGAAAATATACTTTAGGTAAAACCTAGTGATCTCAATTGAAAAATTTTAAACTTTTCTGCAAGGCAAGAATGTCTTAAATCTAATTCCCTTAGAGAAGTGACAGTATGCAAAATCCATTTTCCTCTCAGATATGAATTCATAGTCTCAAAATTAATCTATTAGTAGGAATTTGCTGGATTGTGTGCTACTTACATGAATGAACAAGCATTCTAGTGAGTCTGAAACCAAGAATATTTCCATGTTCCATTCTTCCTTTAGGTTTCATTAAACTCTGGTTTCTACGAATATAGTGTTCTTTGGGGTAACTATTCTGGGATCTGAGAATGGCTTGTACTTAAATTTCATGGGTATGGGGAAGAGTTTTGTTAAATTGATGTGTTGTTTTATTGTTTTGCAATGGTATATCCACATAGTTTAAAAAAAAAAAAAAACAGGGTGATGGGAAAAAGGTTACATTGACAAATCTTTCTCCCATCATTCATTTCTCTAGCCATCTCCTACAGGTTTTGTTTATTTTATTTATTTTTTTTTAAGAGGTTTTTGTCTTGGGGCACATGTACCTGCCTGAGATAGAGACAGTCGAGGAAAGTGAGAAATCCACCCCTTCCCCACCAGTGGGGATAGCTTTGCCATGATTCCTTCTCCTCCTGAGATCTTGAGTACTCATGCACGTACGCCCTGTGAGTTTCGAACCAGTAGGTCTGGGACTTGAACTTCAGTCGGCCATGTGAGAGTCTGGCGATGTAACTGCTACACCATCTACTGGACCTTTCTTTCTTTCTTTTCTTTCTTTTGTCCTTTCTTCCTTTCTTTCCTTCTCTTCTCTTCCCTTCCCTTCCCTTTCCTTCCCTTTCCTTTTTCCTTCCTTCCTTCCTTCCTTCCTTCCATAATGCCTTCTCAGTGCATGATACTGTCTTAGGTACTTAGCTCCTATTTAAAAAATAGTCCTACATTTTTTTTTTTTTTTTTGTTGAAAAGAGTTTTATTTATTTTTTCCCCCATCAAATGGTCTTGTAATTTTTGTTGGAAATCAATGGGTAATATGTATGCACATTTATTTCTGGAATATCAATTCTATTGCATTGATCGATCAGTACACACTGCACTGTCCTGATTG